CAACATGGATGGGCCTGGACACAGTCATACCAAGTGAAGTCAGTCAGAGAGAGAAAGACAGACCATAGGATATCACTTTTATGTAGAATCTAAAATACAGCACAAATGAACACAGCTACAAAGCAGAACCGGATTCACAGACATAGAGCACAGATGTGTGGTTCCCCAGGCGGAGGGGTTGGGGAAGGGAAGGACTGGGAGTTGGGATTAGTAAATACAAGCTAGTATATATAGGACAGATAGACAATAATGTCCCACTGTATAGCACAAGAAACTATATTCAATATAGAAAATGAACTTATGGTTACCGGGGGGGAAGGGTCGGGGGAGGGATAGTTAGGGAGTTTGGGACTGACATGTACACATTGCTATATTTAAAATGGATACCCAATAAGGATCGATGGTATAACACAAGGAACTCTGCTCAATATCCTATAACAACCTAATTGCAAAGAGAATTTGAAAAACAATAGATACATGTGTATGTATAACTGAGTCACTCTGTATACCTGCACCTAATGCAACATTGTTAACCAACTATACTCCAACATAACATAAGAAGTAAAAAAGTCTACAGTATTCTTAGTAGATATTTTTTAGGTATTAAAAAACCTGTTATTAAACCATAATGGAAAATAATATGAAAAATTATATATGTATAACTGAGTCACCGCTACACAGCAGAAACTAAATACGCTGTAAATCAACTATAGCTCAATGAAACTAAAAAATACTGATGCAGTGTAGCATCTAATCAGTGACATTAAGCAAATACAATTCTTATTGAAAAGAGGCCATATTATTCTGATACTAGAACTCACACTGGTTTCACCACTAAGAAATACCCCTCCCAATCAAAAGCAAGAAGACACCCCCAGAGGTAGATGTTTAAAAAGTGCTAAATGCTTTAAGAACACTCTGTGTGTTATGAAAAAGTTCAGGATCTAACTCCCCACAAAATAAGGGGTGAAACACACAGCAGAGCCCATGGGAAACAGCTCTGCATTCATGAGTCTGCAGTGTTTAACTGGGCATGTGTACAAAAAAAGAATGTCCTATTTGGTTTGTGCCTATGTTTATTTTATCAAAAGACAGTTAAAGTATGATGGGTAACACAAAATAAATAGTAGAAAATGTTTAAGAAATACACAGATCAAAATTGTTGTTTTTGTTGTTCAGTTGCCCAGTCGTGTCCGACTCTTTGCCATCCCGTGGACTGCAGCACACCAGGCTTCCCTGTCCCTTACTACGTCCCGGAGTTTGCCCAAGTTCATTGCATCGGTGATGCCATCCAGCCATCTCATCCTCTAACACCCTCTTTTCCTTCTGCTCTCAATCTTTCCCAGCATCAGGGTCTTTTCAGATGAGTCAGCTCTTCGCATTAGGAGGCCAAAGTATTGGAGTTTCAGCTTCAGCAACAGTCCTTCCAATGAATATTCAGGATTGATTTCCTTTAGGATGGACCAGTTTGATCTCCCAGCAGTCCAAGGGACTCTCAAGAGTCTTCTCCAACACCACAGTTCAAAAGCATCAATTCTTGGGCGCTCAGCTTTTTTTATAGCCCAACTCTCACACCCATACAAGACTACTGGAAAAACCATAGCCTTGACTAGGCAGACCTTTGTCGGCATTGCTGTTTTTTTAATCTGGTATTGCTTTCTCTATAATCCAGCAGATGTTTTCAATTTGATCTCTAGCTCTTCTTCCTTTTCTAAACCCAGCTTGGACACCTGGAAATTCCTGGTTCACATAATGCTGAAGCCTAGCATGTGAGATTTTAAGCATGATCTTACTAGCATGGGCGATGAGTGCAACTGTCTGATGGTGAGCCCATTCTTTGGTAGTACCCTTCTTGGGTATTGGGATGAGGATTGACCTTATCTAGTCCTGTGGCTACTGCCGGGTGTTCCAGATTCACTCACATAATGAATGCAAAACCTTGATGGCATCATCCTTTAGGAATCTGAATAGTTCTGCTGGAATTTCATCACATCCACTAGATTTATTAACAACAGTGCTTCTTAAGGCCCACTTAGCACTCCAGAATGTCTGGCTCTGCGGGACTAACTATAGTATTGTAGTAATCCAGTTCATTAAGATTTTTTTTATACAGTTCTTCCACGTATTCTTTCCATCTCTTCTTGATCTCTTCAGTATCTACTAGGTCTCTACCATTTTTATCCTTTATTGTGCCCATCTTTGGGCAGAATGCTTCCATGATGTTTCCAATTTTCCTGAAGAGATCCCTGGTCTTTCCCCTTTTGCTGTTTTCCTCTATTATTAAGCACTGCCCATCAAAGAAGGCCTTCTTGTCTCTTCTAGCTATTTTTGTAACTCTGCATTTAACTGGATGTACTCCGTCTCTCCCTTGCTTTTCACTTATCTTTGTTCTTCTACTATTTGTAAAGCCTCCTCAGATAACCACTTTGACCCTTGTGTTTCTTTTTCTTTGGGATGGTTTTGTTCGCCACCTTCTGTACAATATTACAGACCTTTGTCCATAGTTCTTTAGGCATACTGTTAACTAGATCTAGTCCCTTGAATGTATTCATTACCTCTACTGAGAATTCACATGGGATTTAAGTCACACCTGGCTGGCTTCTTGTTTTTCCCAGTTTTCTCTAGTTTAAGCCTGAATTTTGCTATGTGAAACTGATGATCTGTACCACAGTCAGCTCCAGGTCTTGTTTAGGCTGACTGGATGCAGCTTTTCCATCTTCAGGTACAAAGAATATAATCAATTTGATTTTGGTATTGACCATGTGGTAATGTCCATGTGTAAAGTCATCTCTGTGTTGTTGAAAAAGGGTATTTGCTATGACTAGTGCATTCTCTTGGCAGAATTCAGTTAACCTTTGCCCTGCTTCATTTTGTTCTCCAAGGCCAAACTTGCCTGTTACTCCAGGTATATCTTGACTCCTTTTGGATTCCAATCTCTGATGATGAATAGAACATCTGTTCTGGGTGTAGTTCTAGGAGGTCTTCTAGGTCTTCATTTAGAACTGATAAACTTCAGCTTCTCCACCATCCAAGGGGCATAGACTTGGATTACTGTGATGTTGAATGGCTTGCCTTGGAAACGAACCAAGATCATTCTGGCATTTTTGAAGTTGCACCCAAGTACTGTATTTCAGACTCTCTTGCTGATTATAAGGGCTACTCTATTTCTGCTATGGGATTCTTGCCCACAATAGTAGATAAAATGGTCAACTGAATTAAATTTGCCCATTCCCATTCTGAATTAAATTTGCCCATTCCCATTCATTTTAGTTCAGATGCCTAGGATGTCGATGATTATTCTTACTATCTGCTGCTTGACCAAATCCAATTTTCCTTAATTCATGGACCTAACATTCCAGGTTCCTAGGCAATACTGTTCGTTGCAGCATCAGATTTTACTTTCATCACCAGACACATCCATAACTGAGCACAGTATCTGCTTTGGCCTAGCCATTCATTCTGGGGCTTCATTCATTCTGGGGCTATTGGTAATTCTCCTGCAATCTTCCCCAGTAGCATATTGGACACCTGGGGGACTCATCTTTTGGGCCTTTTATACAACTCATGAAGTTCTCACAGCAAATACACTGGGATGGTTTGCCATTCCCTCCTCCAGTGGATCCCATTTTGATCACAAATCAAAATACTTCATCTAAAATGCACTGCGTTACAGGCTTTTCAGACAAATTTCAAGGGCTGTGAGTGGAAAAGCCAGTAGATGGGCAGGGGCATCTCTGAGATCAGGGATAAAGAACACCCCTGGAGGGACTGAGAGAGGTGACTGATGAGCAGACAGACTGATACACAGACAGACAGATAACCGGGCCAGGAAGGAAAGGAAGTGAAAAGCCAAGACACTGCCACAGAGCCACTTACATGACTGCTAACATGATACAGGGGTCAAGCTTTCCCTCTGGAAGGTACAGACCTGGTTTCTAATTCATTTTAAGTAAAGTCAGTTTATGAATAAGCCCAAAAGAACCTGGACATCAAGACGAGCAGGGTGTGATGCCATGGACCATATGAACAGGCACGGGTCAGCCAAGTGACACCATGGAGCAGGTGGAAAGCATGAAGAGAGTCAGCTCCTGCTGGAGGAGAGCTGGGCTTAAAGGGGCTCCATGTAAATGTCCCCATTCATGGGACGAAGCCGGGAACCATCTCAGCTCAATGAGGAATCATTCGCGCTTCTCTTTACACTGGCGATCAGCCTGTATCTCAGAGTCTGTGTGGAGCAGGCCTGCGGTTGCCCAGGGGAGCTCAGCTCACGGAAGAGCCCAGAGCACACTGGCCATCCTGGCCACAGCAGGATGTCACTCTTCCCAAACCCCATCCAAATAATCTTTCTCCATGTCACACTTTAAGCCAGGAAACCTGTCAAATAATGTCCTGGCCCCTGGAAAGGGAGGGTCTGATATTTCAAATAGTGTTTCAAGGCACATCATCAGGCAGATGAAGGAAGCCCAGAGGGAGATGCCAGCTATAAGGATGCAGGCTATGCCAGTCACCACGGGACAGTCAGGTGCAAAGACACTGTGCTCCGAAGGCTCCACAGATACAAGGCCTCCCTAAATAGATATTATGTCATGTAGAAACCAACTTCTAATGCAAATACCTTCTCAGCTTTGCTGTGAATGTAGATTATTTGGGCACCTATATTACATTAATATTATGTGTCATCCCTATCCTAAACACACTTCAGACTTCTTACAGTGCTTGCAATTTTCTCATTAAGCAATCATGCTCTAAATTTCAAAGCTAATGATAAATGTTAATCAACAAGTCTAAGCCTTTAAGAACTGAAGGTACAAAAATAGTTTCTGATCTTCCCTAATTGAAGCAGTGTAGCATCTCACCTAGACTTCTAAATAAAGCTTACATTTTCACCCTGAGCCATCTTGTTGCTCATGCCACAAGCTTGAAGGATGACAGTGCACACAGGGACCTTCCAGAGAACTGACAGGTTCATTTAGCTGTTCCACGCGATGCCCTGTCCCTACCTTTTCCGATGTCTTGTCTTGCACAGGTGGCCCTGTACAGGGCAGGGTTGGAGGAGGGGGTGCCCGGCGCTTCTTCAGGTCCGACTTGACTGACACCCCTGAGATGTTGCCAAGAGAGCGGGATGGACCCAGGGTAACAGAACGTGGATTCACACACGGGGAGTTCGGGGTCGTCAAGCAGCCCTATTGGAGGAAGAGGCAAACATAAAACCCGCATTACTCCAAGATGCTTCTCAGTGCACCAATGTCCAGAGATGAGAACTGAGCACCCAACACCCACCAGAGCTTCTCCATCATCGTTTTCACAGACAAACAATGCTTGAATCACGAGAGCAAAACCCTTCTATTTCCACTGTCTTGGGAAAATGACCACAGACCCCATTACAGGACAGGTTCCTGGTATGAGGTTTATTTTGCTAATCATGAAGGAAACAGCAAGACTGTTTAAACCTGTACGAGGAATTCTTACCAGCTAGAATCATGGAAAATTCTTGACCCACCTACAGTGATGAATTTGCCTCCTTAAATTTGTGACCTGTCATCAGACTGAGTACTTAGATGCTGAAAAGGGGGAAGGAACAGATCAATGGGTAGAAGCAGCTCATCTTTGCATCTGGAGCATTTCACCCATTGCCTGGAAGGGGCTTAGGTTTCTCCTAACTTTGAGAAGTTTCAAATAGTTGACAGGGTAGTATAAACAGCCTGCCATGGATATTTCATGTGACCATCAAATGCAGTACTTCATGACATATCCCTAATGAACTGAATACAAATTCGACCTAACAACCTAGTTAATTGCTCCCAAGGAGCAACGTCTACATCCAGGGAGCAGACTAAAGGCATATATATGCATTATTTTCAGTTTTGCCTCCTAGGTTCTATTTAGGGGAATAATGCAAGTGTTAGTGCAGGGAAGAGCATTTAGATAACTAGCAGTCTAATTCCAAATTAAAACTGAAATGGATACCCATCCCTTACTCTGCTACGCCCTCTGTCCTGCCCTGGCCCTCCCCAGAACCAGCATCTCCACTCCACGGAGTCCACACTGAGGGCCAATGCAGTGGAGTGGTCAGTCCACAGATGGTGGGACACACTGCCTGGACTCATGACTTTGCCACTGATAAGCTGTGTGGCCTTGGAGAGGTTTCTTAACTTCTCTCTGCCTCAGTTTATCTCCTGCAAAATTGAGGTCAACAATAGTACCTACATCCCAGAGAAATGGTGAGAACTAAATGGGTTACAATAGGTGAAAGAGGCTTAGAGAGTTCACAGCACAAAGTGAGCATCCAGTATGTGCTATTACGGTTATTATGCATTTGTACAGGTTTTTTTCTCCCCCATTACTGTGTGAGCCCCATGAGGACAGCGATCATTCCCTATTTGCACTCATAGCCGAGTCCCAGGCTCCCAGCAGCTCCAAGGGCCCAGTTACCCTGTGTGACCTTGAGTCCACACAGGTAGGAATCAGTGGGTAGGCAAATCTGCCTTTACATTTCACATAAGGAACTTGTGGGTGAGCCATCAGCTCACCACATTTGAAATAAATATAGAAAGAAAACTCACCACTTTCAATAGCAGCCCTGTATGACCTGCCCTCAGCCTATTCTGTTCTGCCAATTATACCATTATTCAGTTTCCTGAGATTTTTGAGACTCAGATTTTCTTGTACTTAAGTATTAACATCAAAGGAAAATTGAATCCCTGCTTCTTATGCTTATTCATGCTTTCTTGTGAGACGCTATCAAATGCACTGCTCATCAAAAGCAGAGTCCCCATAGCAGGTCAGGGACCCACAGGAAAGAGCCTTACACCCAGAAAACTAAACCCAGGCTCCCAGAGAAAAATGTAAAGAAAAATGGTCGGAGTTCTTCCCAGTCCTCCGGTTCTGCAGACATCAGATGTATACTAAGCGGTCACTAAGTCATGTCCAACTTTTTAGTGACCCCATGGACTGCAGTCCTCCAGGTTCCTCCATGGGATTTCCCAGGCAAGAATACTGGAGTGGGTTGCCATTTCCTTCTCCAGGGGATCTTCCTGACCCAGGGATTGAACCCACATCTTCCGCATTGCAAGCAGATTCCCCACCACTGAGCCACTGGGGAAATCTCCTACTAAGCAAGTAAGCCAATGCAAAATGAACTCTTAAATACTTCCATCTACCTTACACGTACCTCCATTGCAACTGTGAACACAGGAAAAGACAAAAGAACTTAAGTGCACTCAATAATGCTGGGTGTGGGTGGTAAATGAAGCAAGCCAGAGCAAGGACTAGGCTGACCCAAGTCTGGAGCTGGGCATTACACTGAAGGGCTGGCCCGCTCGCATGCCCCCACCCCATTTGAGGGATACAGACTCACGCTGCGGAGGTTTGTTCAGGCCTGTGAAGCACAGCAGAGAACTCTACCCACTGCCTGCATCTCTGGAGCGTGCCCAGACCCACTGGCATCCCTTGAACACGGACGTTGTGGCAGGGTGGCTCACATCCCTGACCCTAATTGCTTTTCTCCCCTCTTCCCTGTCTACGCTGGGAACTCCCAGTCCTTCTTGCCTCAGTCCTCCCCACAATGACACCTGCCTGGCAGAAGCCTCAGCACCTCTTTGAACTCACTTCGGTCCCTTCAGTGTCCCGAGTATGTTCCCAGCTCTGTGCAGACACTGTTAAAAGCACTTCACAGCACATCTAGTTTATATCTATTTCAGGCCCTTCCTCTATAATCCTGCTGCCTTCGAGCACTGGGACTTCTGAGTCTGTCAACTCTTTCCTGAAGTGGGGGGGTGGGGCTGACTCAGTGCCCACCTTGCACATACAGGCAGGAACGGCTCCACCTGTAAAATGAGGGACCTTCCACTTGCTTCAAAGTTGCTGTCAGCACCCAGCATGTTTCTGTCACATCAGATGTGTCCCACATATGTGGTTTCCCTCTCCTTTGGTAAGTATTTTTTGGTAAGAATGATCTCATCAGGGCCACGGAGAGATGGCCTTGACAGCAGAAAGTTGGAGCCCAGGGCCACCTATCCTGGCTTTCTCCAATCCTGACACCTGTTATTGATGGGCTTCACAGTATCTGCGTCTCTGGAACAGAACTGAATTCTGACATAACAGGTTTTTAGCCAAGTCTGCTCTGTAGAGCCACACGCCTCTCTCCCTAACCCACCCCCACCCTTCACACCCCCAATGTCAGTGTACCCTAGTTCTCAGACCACCAACCCCTCTCAACACTGAAGCACAATAATGCTTCTCAATGTTCAATCCAGGGGCAGCCAAAACATCTTGGCTGCCCAGAGGATATTTGTGGTCTAACTCATTTCCTTCTTTCCCCACTCCTGGAAATTGCGCACACAATAAAGAAAAAAAGTCCACAGAATAATTTGGATAGAGACATTGTTTTTTAAGTATGGATGCCGTTTAAGAGGCTGATTCATATCAGTGTAAAATAAAATGCTAAACCACGCTGTGGTCCATGTAGGCTGGGGTCTAGACAGCCTGGTCCACGCCTTCCTATTCCAGTGTGGGGTTTTCTCCTGCTGCACAGTGGCCAGGTTTCATGGGAAACAGACCACAGCTTGCCTGCAGGAGGGATCTCATTTCCTGCTCTTGTCCAAACTGTTCAAAAGCATTAAAAAAAAAAAATCAAATCCTTTTCTAGGTGGGGAGTGAGTCATACCTTCCTACAAAAGTTGGCAGAAAAATTCACAGGTTCTGGCTTTCATAGTCACATCAGATTTTCTTAGATTTTTTTCTCCCGTGATGGAAGCCCAATAAATCGTTAAGAAAGAGCAATGGATAATGAAAACAGGAATAAAGCAGACCCACTGACAGGGCCCACAAGGGGTCTCATTGTTAAGATGGCTCATTATGTTGACCTTGCAAACAGAGAATAAAATCAGTGATCCTTAAGATGGACTGAATTGCCCAAATGACATTCTGTTTCCTCACTGGCGCCTACCTTCTCAAAGCCACAAGACCACCAGCTACAAGCTCCACCAGGAGGTCCAGACCTCCGGCTCCGTGACCACAGGACTCAACTGTAGGCTAAAACTTAACCGTCCCTTCAGAGAAGTTTTCATTGGCGGGGTATAAGAAAGACCCTGTCAGAAAGGGAGGACGTGGCTCTCCTTAAGGGCCAGTCACCCTCTCGTTTCCCTCTAATAAATTCCCCTTTTCTTGCCTGAATGTCTGGCTCGCTCTCTTTTTCTCGGCATTTGCCTTACACCAACCTTTAGGACCCAGAACTCGTGGGACTTCAGACTGCGGGGTGTACACCTCTTTTGCTGTCACTGGAGGGCTAATCAGATGGGAAACAGTACTAATGCCATGAATTCACACCACCACTGACAGCCTATGAATTTATTACCTTCAGGATAAAATGATAAGATGGGACTTCACTGGTGGTCTAGTGGCTCAGATTCCAAGCTTCCAGTTCTGGGGGCCTTAGTCAAGGAACTAGATCCTGCATGCTGAAACTAAGAGTCTGCGTGCCACAGCTAAAATTACACAAGCTGCAACTGAAGATCCCATGTGCCTTCACCGAAGATCAAAGATCCCACGTGCCTCAACTAAGACTCGGCGGAGCCAAATACATGAATAAAAAATAAAAAAATTAAGATGATAATTTGACCCCATCTCACACACACAGCTGGATGTGGAGGATTGGGAAACATCTTTGGGATCTGTTGATTTTGTCACAGACATCTAATTTTGAATTAAATACATGTATTTGTTCTTGTTTGAAATGTACTCCGTATTCTAGTGGATCCTGATCTCCTTCTGTTTGTCAGTGCAGCCAGAACGACATTCTGCACTCGTTCCAAATGTTGACTGAAAAATAATGCATAGCCGAAAAGTTCAGATTTATGTTTTATTCAGCGGACAAAACTGAGGACTTAAGCCTAGGACACAGCCCTTCTGAGAGCTCTGAGGGACTGTTCAGAAGAGCTAAGGTGGGAGGAGCCAGAATATATAGGGATTTTTGCAACTCGGAACATCAAAAGATTGCCGTTAATTAAGGAAAACCAGACATCACGCTTTTCTATGTATGGGAAGATGCAAGAGTCTGGCTCACCCCTCGGCAATCATTCCTGCGAGATCTAGCTCAGCTGCTTGGAGCCAGCTTCCTGTGGAGTTTTCTCATCCTGAGTCTTCTCAGCGCCCACCTTCGGGGTGGCTCCAGTGTCTGCTGGTT